CGACGGGTTGCTTTTTCCCCCCAAGGAACTCTACAGTGACATACCACAACCGTCACAGTTTCATACTTAGAAGATAAGTAGTTGGCTGCTCATTCTTATCCATATATCTATTTTACGCCGTTTGCCTGTTCTTAAACGCTTCATGAATCAAATGCATATTTTGCAAGTGTCTCTGCCAGTAATTAGTTGTTCACACAAACAGTTTTAGCCGGCCTACTTAGTCTTTTAATTCGCATTCTTAGTAATTTCGTTTACCTTTTATATCCTCGCTGATGTTTCACATGATTTTACTTACGTGTTTTATTGCTTTGGCTTTGTTTTTATTTGCATTTTCCCTTCACTTTATGGCCAGGCTTTCATTCCATCTTTAAGTTACTAAATACTGTGGACTACGGGTTTTATGAACGAGCCGGCAAGGTATTACCGCTCACTACCACCCACCTACCACTGTCTTGCCACGCTACGTTCGTTCCCGTATTACCCCAGGGGAATTTATACGTTTGCACTATGGTAATCTAAAAGTATTAAACATTGGAATAAAAACTGCAAGAATCGCATAAGAGAGGCGGTATACCTCTCACATATGTATGTGTATGTATACACACACACACACGTGTGTGTGTGTGTGTGTGTTTGTGTGTGTACATGCATACATACATACGTGTATATATATATATATATATATATATATATATATATATATATATATATATATATATATACACACACACACACACGTGTCCTATAAATGAAAGTCGCGTGTGCGTCTCCCTGCTAGGCGGGCTGCATCATAACAGATAGCACGTCGTAATTTACTGATAATTTGTACATGCAGTAAACATAGAACACGTGACTATTGGTGGTAAATTGAAATAAAATTCTTTGCCCGTACATGAGATTTACAACTGTAACATTCTCTTCCCTCTTTCTTGTGTTCCATTTAATACCATTTTCCTCGTTCACTTCATATAAACCCTTCTGTGCATGTGTTCCTTCCTCCCTCTCTTTCCCTATTTTTTTTCTCTCTTTCTTTTTAAGAGAGGGAGGGAGAGAACGACAGAGAGAGAAAGGGAGGAAAATTATAGAAATAGAGTGAGAGAAAGACGCGACAGAGAGGGTGGGGAGGGAAGGAGACGGCAAAAAATATTATAGCAATTATAAGATTAAAAATTATAATGATAATGGGCATACTTAAACTGCAGTAGTAACAACAGTTGTTGTACTTTTGAGTGTAATGCGAATAAACGATTTTTACAAAATCTTTCACTGCTTCTCACAGATAATTAGCAATAATAACTATATAATCCTATTACTGATGACACAGCCTCACACAAAAATATTGGTATTAGAGGAAATTAGATATAGCCTTATATTTTATAACTATTATGACAACTAACATTTGATAAAGACTGAAAAAATATAAAGAAAATCAGCAGTTTAAGTTAATAATCTTTATCTTAAATTCAGAGTTAGGGTTATGGTAACAAATTTTATTGATTAAACTGAATATCAACTGCTAGGGGAGCACGCAAGTAATAAACAGTCGAACTGATAATTGCAGACATATGTGCCACAATCTAAAATGGATAGAACGAACTATAGGCATACAACCTTTATACAGCCTGGTTAAATCTTCTCCATATTCCAATGAAATTTCATCCTATGGAAACATAGTGTATATTATCGTAACATTATAATATCTTCAGAACTTAAACATATATTTTTTTCCATTACGATCTTTTCACTCCCGTTTCATCCTGTTACCGTAATCGGCAATTTATCTGATCGCGATTTATACGCTTTATTTTGTGGTATAATCTGCTTGGGGAGACTTAGGGAGCTTAAGAGTTCATCTGCATTTTTACTGTATTTATCACCACTATTATCTGTGGCATTCTTATCGTTATCTCTTGTCATTGTTGATTTTATGATAAGTACTATTTTAATAAAAAATATATATATATAACTATAACTATCATGCTTATAATCAAGGTAAGGGAATAACTGCAATGATAATAGCAGAATAACACAAATAATATAATAATAAATAGAGCTAGTTACGCATGTCTGATAAAGAATTTCGTGGTGCAATAACTAAGTATTTGAATGTCAGTCTCCGGATATTGCATTACCTGTATGTGATGTTGGGTAGGTCACTGTACCCTTAACTGAGCTGGAGATACAGAAGCCCCGATTTGTTTATCATCTTTCAGGTTTGGTGGCAGAAGCGGTATCGCCTCCGACTTCTACGCTGCAGGATCCAAGTAAAGTTAAAAGGTACTGATTGCACTTGCTCGTGTTTGGCGGTTCACGAGTGTTCTCCGCAGAGATAACGTCCCCCTCTCGAAGCCAATGGTCACCCAAAGGCACTATGCGGAGAGGCAGCAACAGACCAGTCGATAAAAAACGGAATCAAATCGCTACTCAGGTTCCGGTTGGCCAACTCGGTGGTTGTTTTGGATTCTTCGGTGGAATGAATGTCTTCAAATCATTCTGTACCTTTACATAACCTTACTGGCTCAAAAGTATTTTAAAAAGGCTGCGTATCTTGATTTGTTGATATAATTCAATTAATTAGTCAAGTAAGGTCCGTGATCATTGGAATTATCCAGTTTTCTGATTTGGACATGGAGCTCACTCGCGGTAAATAAGACGAGATGTAAATCATTAAGCAACTTTAACTTTTCATATGAAGAATAATGTATGTAATAAGAAAAAGGTATTTTGACTGAATCTGAGAAATACATTTAAAAGTTCCACATTTTTGAGAAGCGAAGAATGGTGCGTATGAACAAAAAAAGTTGCAGAGTAGTCAGGTACTTCTTCCATATTATTTGAAGCTTCTACAATCTTTTGCTTGTAACTAAAGAACATACCAGTATAATAAGTACATTATACAGTAAAGTAAACAAAAGTAAACATAGGGCATGGACATAGGAACGAACAAATTGTTAAAGTAAAACATAATAGGCCTATTTTTCTATTATTTGTTTCTCTCCCTCCATCTAGCTGGTGTTCTTACTTGCGCGTCTGCCATCTGTAATTGCACAAGTGTAATCCCATAATCAC